GGGGGCGGGGAGGGATGGCGGGCGTAGCGCCAGCTCTGACACATCTCTTCTCTCTGCTAGGCTGGTGGTAAAGCTGGGAAGGACTCTGGGAAGACCAAGACCAAAGCAGTGTCCCGTTCTCAGCGGGCTGGATTGCAGGTGAGCAGGGACTGAGGTGTGAGTTGGCTTTCTATTTCTTGGTTGGCTGTACCTTGTGAAATCTGCACAGTTTGTTGTCTGTCTGTTGTCCAGAATGGTGTAAGGATCCGTGGGATCCTGGAGTGTGTTAATGTCTGGCTTGGCTATTTTTAGACCTTTTGCATATCTGTGCAGGAGGGAAGAGAATTCCCTTGTGGGTGTTGCTGCTGCTTGTAGTTAGAATTGTGAAGTTGCTGATGTGAACTTGGCATACACATACATCCGGCCTTAGCCGGATTCTCAAGTATTGAAATGTAGTCTTGTACCAGTTGTACATTTGCCACTGGGATTCTGTTGCCCAGCATGTGGTTTAGAGTAGTAGCTTTCTTCTTCTGTCTCTGTTGTCACAGCCTATTCATACTTCTGATATTTTTCCAGTTCCCTGTTGGCCGCATCCACAGGCACCTGAAGTCTAGGACTACCAGCCATGGGCGTGTAGGAGCCACAGCTGCTGTGTATAGTGCTGCGATCCTGGAGTACTTGACAGCTGAGGTAAAGCTCCTGCAAGGGGTGCAAGCAAGTTGGTCAGCTCTGAAATGGCATAGTGACCAGATCCCACTGTATTTTGGCAATTTGGACTAAGCTGTGAACTCTTCACTTGCTTTGAGCCAGTTTCAAGTGCGTGCATCATCAGGAGACCGTGAAATATGCATGGGACCTTCTGCTCCGCATTTTGTGCAGATCAAATAGCTGAGACTTACAGGAAAGTTGGGAGTGTGAAGTATTTTATGAAATTTATAAAGTATTTTGTAAAACACTTATTCTGTTCTTGGGGAAAACCAAATGTGGAGCTCCAAAGGAGGAACCCTTTCAAAAGAGGTGTTGCTTGCTGTCTTGGTGTCACTAATAGTGTATCTGGTGTAGAGAATAAAATAGCTAAGGCTGTGCAATTGGTCTCTCTTGACTTGTGTAACTCAGTTTAAAAATTATCTTGTCCTCAGGTTCTTGAGCTGGCAGGAAATGCATCCAAAGACTTGAAGGTGAAGCGTATCACTCCCCGTCACTTGCAGCTTGCAATTAGAGGAGATGAAGAACTGGACTCTCTCATTAAGGCAACAATTGCTGGTGGTGGTATGTAAATTGCTTGCTAACTGTGATGTGTTGGGGTGGCAAGAACTCTATAACAGACTAGAGGTTGCTTAATGCTGTCATTTTATTTGAAGTGCAAAGTTTAGGAAAACTGTTGAAGAGAAATAACATGGTCTTAATTGTTGTTCTTTCTTAGGTGTAATACCGCATATCCACAAGTCTCTCATTGGAAAGAAAGGACAACAGAAAACTGTCTAAAGGATACCAGGATTCCTTGTTATCTCAGGACTCAAGTACTTAATTGTCCAGTGTTGGTGATTCCAGTGGACTGTATCTGTGAAACACAATTTTGCCTTTTTGTAACTTTGAGAAGCTAAAGCTCCCTTGAGCTTTCTAACAAACCAAATTTCTGCATTGAAGTCTTAACCGTATTTAAGTGTTACCATGGCTTCAAAGAAGCTATTGTATTTGTAGTGGGTTTTGATTGAGCTGACTGTTTTTAGATTGGTTTAAGTAAAGGAAATGTTTGGGTTTGTACAGACTTTTCATCCACTAGAGTGGAACTATTCAATAAATGTTATATGAAGACTGAGTGTCTCTTGTCCACTAGGTGAAAAATACTTGGTCTCAACTACGCAGCTCTCCAAGAGTTGTTCCAAGAATTCTGACAATCCTGCTGCCAGCTGTGCTCGGGATATCTAGCAAAAATAGTCCTATAGTACTGTGTTTGGTAAATACCATCAAGTGAAATGGCACGTGGGTCTTACCCTGCAAAGTTATGTTCTTGCTGAGTGAGCCAGCTGTGCAGTGTGACAGGTGCCTTTAGCAGGGCACGTGTGAGGCTGGTGCTATTTAAGGCCAGTTTTACTTGATGTCAGCCTTCGCAGAGGGAAGGGATCTGTTGTGGAGGAGGAGGAAGGGCAACTGAATGGATGTTGAAAATCCACAGCTTTAGTTGATTTTCTGTGTGGCAGAGCTTGACCCCTCTCACTGTTTCTTCTAAAAGGCCATGGAGGGACACCCATGAAGGCAGGGGCTGTACTGCAGCAGCCTGTGCTGGCTCAGAGGCTGTGAACTTCCAGGAGGAGGTAGCAGTCACATAGAGCTGTCTCATTGTGGCTGTTTCAGGGTGGGCTTTACCTCTGCAGGTGGCAGGGGTCTGACTGGGAAAGCATATAGTGATGGGGGGGGGATCAACCTACACAACTGGAGTTTAAGGGTGTAGTGTTGAAGTTACAGTTTTAACTTCTGCCGAACAAAGTAGCATCCTCAGTAGCAGTAGTTTAACAGGGGTCCCTTAGCTGTGCTTCTCCAGATCTCTGCAGGTTCACTCCTTGCAGCCAAGGGCTGCCCCTTGCTGGGCAAAGGGATCCCGCGGGCTTTTGGTAAGGCAGAAGGGGGTCCCCTGGCTGGGGCAGTGAGCACCAGGCCTTCCAGAGCTGCACTGAAATACTTCAAATAAAGATGCTTCTGCATTGCACAGGCCTGTCTGTTTCCATAACCTCTTTCGGGTGACAATTTCTGCTGCAGCACTGTAGCTGAAAGGTGTTGACCCAGATTAGAAATGTTGGTCAGACCACCATTAACTGCACTCCTCCTCCTGCGGTGCTGTACTGGAGCAGCACCCGAGTGCTCGGCAGGATGAAATTGATGTCGCTAATTATAGCGAGTAGTTACAAGGTGCTAACAGGCACCTCAGAGCACAGTTAACGCACCGTAAACGACAACGCGTGGGGCTCCTCTCGCTCCTGTGCCGGCTCCGGAAAGGCCGGGCCGGGCCGGCGCGGTTCCCCCCGGGGCGCATTGCAGCTCCAGCGCACATCCGCCCGCCCGGTACTCCTCCGTGGCGGCCGGCTCCCTCGGGCTGCTGCCAGGCGGCGAGTGAGCGGCGGCGCTCCCGGCCCGGAGGAGCGCGGCGCTGGCTGCGGTGAGGCCCTTGCCGGGGCGGCTACCGGAGCCCCGGGGCG